AGGGAGCTGTGAGGAGGAAAGAGCCGTCCTGTGCCGGGAAGGCGGCCGGAGCTTGAGCCGGAGCTCCGAGCTGGTGGTCCCTGAGCAGCCTCCCAGCAGGGAGAAGCCCTTCAGGTGCTTGGAATGTGGGAAGAGCTTCAGGCAGAGCTCCCACCTCCTCAGCCACCAGCTCATCCACACTGGGGAACGGCCCTACACGTGTGGGCAATGTGGGAAGAGCTTCAGGCACAGCTCCACCCTGATCAAACACCAGCGCATCCACACTGGGGAGAGGCCCTACATGTGTGGGGAATGTGGGAAGAGCTTTACTGGTAGATCCAACCTGATCAAACACCAGCGCATCCACACTGGGGAACGGCCCTTCAAGTGTGGGGAATGTGGGAAGAGCTTCAGGTACAGCTCCAACCTGATCCAACACCAGCACATCCACACTGGGGAACGGCCCTACAAGTGTTTGCAATGTGGGAAGAGGTTTCAGACCAGTGGGAATCTCCTCCTGCATGAGCGGACACACACAGAGGAGAGGCCCTTCTGCTGCACCGACTGCGGGAAGGGCTTCAAACACAACTCCCACCTCATCGCCCACCGGCACATCCACACCAGGGAGAGGCCCTACAAGTGTGGGGAGTGTGGGAAGAGCTTCAGCCGGAGCTCCCACTTGACCAGACACCAACGGACCCACCAGTAAGGGAAGGCCCGACAAGTGCCCCGACTGCGGGAAGAGCTTCGGCCGCTGCTCCCACCCCGAATGACCCCCCTGATGGTGAGGCAACCCCTGGAGTCCAGTGACTGTCAGTCCATCCCTTTCTACCAGAAAGGGCCAGTCCCCTTTGCCAGGGGCAGGTTGTGCCAACAGAACCATTCTTGGGGGGTGTGTGGAGATTCCTGCCTTGGCTGGGACCCCCCAAGGTCACTGCTGGAGGTTGAGAGCAGAGATCTCCCCCTGAGCGTTGGTCTGGGGGAGTTCCATCCCTCTCTAATGAATAATTCTTGCTTTGGTGCCAACTTGAGTAGAATTGCTTCAACAATTGCTTTAGTGTAGAGCACTGTCCTGTCTTATCCTGTACTAGTGGTAGTTTTAGTGTTTCTATTGTGCAGTAAATAATTCTGATGATCTTTTGTCTGATCATTTGTAACCCTAAATAATTCATTTCTATCAATAGATCTGATTTGCCATCCTCAAAATTTGGGGGACAAAAGTGGTTCAGTCCCACCTCTGTAATTCCTCTAAACTGAAAGTGTTGGCATAACCCAAGGCTGAGATTGGATCCAGCAGCCCCAGCACCCCACAGTCAGTTGGGAGCTCATGGGGCCATTCCCCTTTCCCAACCTCTGTGTGCCCAAAGACCCCCATGGGATTGTCAGACCCTCCAGTCCACCCCCCTCTTCCACCCTTCTCCCTATTCCTCCCAATTTTTCATGGTCCTCCTAATTCCCAGTTTACCCCATGAATAATCCCAACCCCCACTTTCCCCTCCCCCCCT